GGCGTGTACGACGCGGCGCTCTCGATGTATGACTCTCTGCTGCCCCTCGTCCGCGACCACCTGGCCTGCGCCGGGCCCGGGGCCAAGGTCGCGTTCACAGGCCACAGCCTGGGGGGCAGCCTCGCGACCGTCATCACCCTGCTGATGATTCACAGGTGCGGGGCACGCACGGACTTCGCACCCGCGCTGGCGACAGCGGGCGCCGAGGCTGGTGCTGATCTGGGGTGCCGCCGAGCTCCCGTATGCCTTGGAGCCCCCCGGCTGGGCGCGGCAGGCCCTGGGTTGCGCCTCGTCTCGGCTGCCGCCGTCCCGCAAGATCCTGCCTTGCAAAGTTGTTCCGAAAGGCACCCTCACGACACACACACACACACACACACACACACACGCACACACACACACACACGCACACACCGATGCACTCCTCCCCCAGGGGCGACCTGCCCGTCGACGCCCTGGCCTCCGTCCACACCTTTGGCGCCCCCGCCGTCTTCTGCGACTCCTCCAGCCAGCCCCTCCCCTGCTGCGGCGACGCCGCCTGCTCCTGCGGCGCCGGCGCCGCCGCCGCCGCCCCGGCCGCCGCCGCGGCCCCGACCCCGGCCCCGCGCGTCGGGGCGCTGCTGCCCAGCCTGGGGCTGGACGCCCACAAGATTACCAACGTGGTGATGCACCGCGACATCGTGCCGCGCGCGTTTGTGTGCGACTACAGCCTGGTGGCCGACATCTTGAAGGGATGGCTGCCGTCGTTTAAGGAGCACACGGGGCTCGCCGCCTGCAAGCCGCACAAGGTACGCGCGGCTGGGGCCGCCCTGCGCTGCCCGGCGGCGTCGGGGGCGTTAGGGCGTGCGGTCCGGGCGTGCGTGGTTTCGCTGCTTGTCGTCGTGTTGTCACCATGTGTGTGGTTGTGGGTGGCTCACGGTGTGTGTTCAAGGTGTGCAGGGGAGTGCACCGCACGCATGGCGGCGGGGCTGCAACCAGGTCGTCCGCACACCTCCCCGCCGGGCCGCCCCACGCGGCACTCAACATTCGAGAGAGCCAGCGCAGGTTCCCACCCTCCTTCCACCCCCACCCTGCCGCCGCTCACGCCCCCTCCTCCCCTCCTACACACACACACACACACACACACACACACACACACACACACACTCCAGACCCTCTACCATTTTGTGGGCGACGTGGAAGTCCTGCAGCCGCCCCTGGGCAGCGCCTTCACCCTCCCCGACGAGGGCCACTTCATGCTGCCCGCCGAGCCCGCCCTTTACAAGCTCACAGAGCCCAGCTGCCCCCTGCCCCAGCGCGGCGCGCCCAAGCACGCTGCCCAGCACTCGGCCCAGCACGCGGAGCAAGCGCAGCGTGCGCCGCCGGCCGGCGCGCGCGCGCTGACGCTGACGGACGCGGTCCAGGCGTTCTTCAACACGCCGCACCCGCTGCAGACGCTGAGCGAGGTGCGCGCGTACGGGCCGGGTGGGTCCATCAGCCGCTTCCACAACCCCCAGAACTACACGGACGCCTTGGCCATGCTGCTCTGAAGCGGCCGTGCTGCTCTGAAGCGGCTTGGGCCGCGGGGACGCCGGCCGGCAGCCATCGCACGCGGAAAGGCCAGAGTCGGCACGGCGGCGCGGCGCGCGCCCCCACGGCGCGGCGCGCCTGGCGGCCGGGCGGTCGGGCGGACGGCTGCCTACGGGTGGCTTGTTTGCCTCTGATTATTCGCGGGGCGTCGTCGGAGGGGTAGAGTGGGGGCGATTTCGCGCCCTCTCCTGGCTTGGTTGGTCTGCGGCAGGGCCCCGCTCAGACGGCGCCGCGGCAGCGGCTTATTTCCTTCTTATTGTAGCACCCGAGCTTACTCTCGGCGCAATCGGTCATCGGGGCCGCAACGAGGCCCCCAGCACGCGCCGAGCCACTTGCATTCCCCCTGGGTTATTCGAAACGGCGCGGCAATTACGAGCGCCGCGGGCCCTCCGCGCACCCCCTCGCCGCGCCCTGCATGCGCAGCGCCTGAGCGAGGGGGCGAGGTTGTTGGTGACGAGGTGTGTCGTCAGCACCCACATGCTCCTGCTTCGGTGGCCTCTTGGGCTCCGGCCGGGGGCGGTGGATTTGATCTGAAAGCATTTGGATGGCTGCCACTGCTTGAAAGCAGCAGCGGCGCGCGCCCCGCGGCTCCACCGTCCAGAGGAGGCGGCGGGCGCGCGGGGCCGGGGGTGGGGCGAGCGGGTGCGGGCAGAATCTGGACGGGCATGCTTTGCGGGCGGGGCTCTGCGCCCCGCCTTTCGCAGCGGCCACGCCTGGGAGCCCGGCGGGCGGGCGCGTTCGGCCGTGCGGCGGCTGGCGCCCCGCTCGCGGTTTTGTATCATATCTATTCAATTGCCCGCCGCCCCAAGGGATGTTTCAAGCCCTGTTCCTGAAGCCAAGCCAGGCACAGGCCCACAAAGGGGCTTTTGTCACCCGTCCAGTACTTTTTTTCGCCCCGCGCCCCCCGTCTGCGCGGGGGGGCGTGCGCGCGCTTCGGAGCTGCACCCGCGACAGGCGTCTCGCGCGCATGTCGACACTTGAAGCGCGCGAGGCCGCGTGCTGCCGGCCGGCCAGCGGGTCGAGAGCGCCCAGGGCCGCGTCTAGACCTGGAGCGGCCGTCCTGCGGCGCGCGTGCTTCCCGTGCGGCCGGCGGCCGGCGCGACGCATTTGCATGCGCGTCGGTGCCGCCCGGCGCGTGGCCCACGCGAGCACCGTGTTTTCGTTGTCCTTTCTATTGACCCCGGCATGCAGCACGATTCGGCACGCCTGCGAGACACACAACACACCGCGACAGCGAGCACAACACACTCTGCGGCCGCGGGCGCGCGCAGGCCGCGGCCCCTGACGCGCCACACACCACACACGCGTGCGGGCGGCCACCACGCACCACAGACAGCCCTCGCTCCACCTGGGCGCGGTGCGGGGCGGGCCAGTTTTGTTGACCAGCGGGTTCCCCATGATTTCCACAATTTGACCCACGGTTCGATGGGCGCACGGCCGCCCCTCGACCCCCAAAACACCGCACGCAGCTGATGCGCGCTCAAAACGATCGTGCGTGTGCCGCGAGGGGGGTGAGGGGCCAAAGGCTTGCGAGTAGGAGAGCAGTGCTGGGGGGGCAACAACACCGCCAGGCTCCAGGGCTGAGGCAAGAGGGAGGGGCGGCTGGGGGGGCCGGGCCGCGGCGACGCGGCGCCTCCCCCCGCCGCCGCCCGCCGCTGCATCGAACAATCGATTTTGAGGGGCGGCCGCCTGGGCGCGGGGCCCCGCAGTTTTGGCGCGCGCGAGACTGCGCTCTGACCCTTGGCCCGCCGCGGCGGGCGGGCCGCGCTGGCCGGCCGCTGCAGGCAGCAAGCCTGGGGCGCGTTCCGCACGCGCGCGTGCGGTCGCCCCCATATGTATGCGGCGCGCGTCCCCGCCCTCGCTCGCCGCGCCGCCTGCGGGAGGCGGCCTTTGAGGCCGCGCTGGCTGTCTTCTATTTCAATTTGGACTGTCATTCGGACTGTCATTCGAGGGGGGGGGGTGCGCCCTGCGGCGCTGTATGTCGGCTGCCCCGCACCGCCTGGTGGGCCGCGCGCGACCCCTGTCGGGCGCGGTCTGTTGGGGTTGGGCGGGAGCGGTGCACAGCTGCGGCGCGGCTGCTCACAATTCCTGCAGCCCGCCTGCCGGGCCCCCGTGCGGGTCCGTCCCCCCACATACTCGCCCCTGACGCCCCAACGCACTGAGCTTTCTGACCCCGGCGGGCCTCTCAGCCGCCGCCCCGCGCCCGCGTGCGCGCCGGTCGCGGCGGGAGCTCTCCGGGGCGGAGCGGGGTGTGCCTGCGCCCTGCGCGCGCGTCGAGAGGCGCGCGCTTTTGTACACCGCGGCGCAACTGAGCTCTGAACCCTGGCGGCGTGGATATCTCATTGTAAACTCTTCCTCCATAACCCAACAAACCCGACAAAGCTCCTGAGCGCTGCTCAAGCTCTTGAATGCCGAGGTTCGACAGCTGTGCGTGTTGGCCCCGGGGTTCCTGGATCAACCTGAGGCAGTGGTGGCTGTGGCGGTGGTGCAGTTGACCACTCGAATCAAACATCGCGGCCGCTGAGCTTCGAGCTGCCTGCTTCCTCACCAACGCCTCCCTGTCATTGCCTGTCATTGCCTGTCATTGCCTGTCATTGCCTGTTATTGCCTGTCATTGCCTGTCATTGCCTGTCATTGCCTGTCATTGCCTGTCATTGCCTGTCAATGCCTGTCATTGCATGTCATTGCCTGGGACGCCGCCCTGAGGCGCATCCTGAGGCACAGGAATGCGATGCCATCAGCAGTCCTTGGGCAATTGGGGCCAAGGGTTTACAGCTGCGCCGTCGGGCGCGGAACGAGGGGCTCGAGGGGGCCGCTGTGATGCAGCAGGCACACGATACCAGAGTGGGCAGGGGGCGTGTCGCAGCCCCGGCCTTCGCCGACCAGCCAAAAGCGAATGCAGCGGGCGACCGCGTGCGTGCGCGCGCACGTGAGCTTGCGCGGCCGTCGAGGCTGGCACGCAGCGGCGCGACGGCGAGCGCTGGGGGAGGGCCGGCCTGCGGCGCGCGGGGTGTGTCGCAAAGGCGGCGCCGCCATGCAGGCCGGCTGCTGCGGCGCGGCGCTTTGAGTGCCAGGCTGTTGAGGCTTGAAAGGCTGGTGTGGAGGCGACAACTGTCAACCGATACAAAAAAAGCAGAGGCGCTGTGCACTTTTTGTCAAGACATTAACACACACAAACACACAAACTGCGCTCTTGGAAACATTATAGTATTGCGGTCAACGCTCCTGCGGTGCTAAGCTAAAGCTGCCCCTAGGTCACACATGATATGGGCCAAGTCAACGATTGCCAAGCTGACGCCGGCCCCCTATGCGCCTGCAGCGCCAGCAACGTTGAGCGGTATGCTGACCAGGGCTTATGTTCAGGGTTCAATCGGAACCCGCCACCCCCTTGAACCTCACCCCAGCCAGCCGCCCGCCGCCGCCCCGCGCCGCTGAGGCTCGGAGACGGACAGCAGCAGCTGCCGCACGCGCGCCGCGGCGTCCGCCGTGCCGCACTCGATCGTGCAGGCGACAAACCACTTGGCCAGTGGGCTCGCATCTGGGCCCCGCCCGCCGCCCTCAGAGGACGCAGCGGCGGAGCCGCCCGCGTGCGCCGCCGCGGGGTGCAGCGGCGAGCGGTCCCAGGGCGGCAGGCACAGCAGCCGCAGCCGCGGCCCCTCCGCCGTCGCCGCCAGCACGTCCCGCGCCTGCAGCAGCCGCTGCAGCGCCGGGCGCCGGAAGAGCGGCCCGCCCGGCCCCGCGCGGCACGCGAGCAGCAGCAGGTGCTCTGAGGTGACGACAGCAAACAGCCAGTGCGGCGCGGGCGCGAGGCGCACGCAGCCCGCGAACGCCTCAGACCTGAACGGCGCCGCGGGGCGCGTGTGGTACAGCAGCGCGCGCCCGAGCGACTCGAGCGGGTCGTAGCGCCGCAGCAGCGTCCGCGGCCGCACGTGCCGCGGCACGCGCAGCGGGCCCGCGCCGCCCGCGCGGCGGCCGGCGGCGAGCGACGCGGCGCTGCCGGCCGCCGACTCTGTGAGCTCGAGCGCGACGAGCAGCGGC